TATATGTTGGTCTTGTAAATAGCTAGGTATGTTTCTTTATTTTAATATATTTTTTGTTAGATTCTACATAGAGATTAGGTGCCTGTTTGGCATTAATTTTCAGTATTTTGAATGTTTCACCATTCTCTGCATCTACCTTTACATATATGTTGGTCTTGTAAATAGCTAGGTATGTTTCTTTATTTTAACATATTTTTTGTTAGATTCTACATAGAGATTAGGTGCCCATTTGACATTGCTTATTTGGGGTGATAAGTGATTTTTAAAAGAATTTGGGAAGCCCAGCTCGTTTGGTAAACTATGAGAAAATCACTTATTGTTAAAAATTGCTATGAGAGAAAGCTATAATGGTAAACTATGAGAAAATCACTTATTGTTAAAAATTGCTGTGAGAGAAAGCTATAAGGGAAAGCAACTAATGAGGTGCTTTTATTTTCTGATTATGAAGGAATCAGTTTCGAAGAGGCGCTGGGTTTAATGATTATGCGGGAATAATTTTCTAATTATGCGAGAATCAATATCAACTACACTTTTAACAACAAGTTTACCAAATGTCAAACTGCTTTCTCTCTCACATCTCTCATAGCAGATTTGACAGCGATTATTTTCACAGCGCAGCAATGCCAAATTGCTTTTAGGTTCATCAAATTTGGAAATTTTTTTATGATTACTAAAGAATTTTTCAGGTGTGCCATGGTGGCAATGGAGATGTATAAAATTCAAATTTTAAAATTAAAACAAAAAGTGCATTTAAATCAAGGATTTTCTTAGTTTACCTAAAAGGGTAAAATTGGAATACAAAAATAAAGAATTAAATATCTGAAAATAAATAAAAAGTCAATGGGCTTCACTCTAATTAGCAGAAAGCAGTTAACCAACAGGTCAATCTAATTATATAAAAATTAAAATTTTAAAAAAACAAACAAAAACTAGAGCTGATCTAACCTCTAAAACTAGATCAGACAAATCAAATTTTGACACAAACAGAAACTGCCAATCATTCATGGGACGACAAATATTAGCCCTGAAAATGTGAAATTGTGAACTTGGGTTTTTGTAACTTGAATGAAAATATGGTTTACGTTCTTCTCTTGAGCCCACTGGTACCCATTGAGAGACTATCAAAGATAAATATGCATACTGGCATCAATGTTATGGACTCATACAAAATAAAATAGCATATAAAAAAGTTAAACTTTCACACAAAACAAAAATAACTTGAATATTCTTTGGGTCCTTCAGTTAATGATAATATAGGACAACTACTTCAATAAGACTTGAATATAAGGCTTGGCAAGGCAATGGAGATGCACACTTCTCTTTCGATCAATCAAAATCCCATGTCCTCGTTTTTGCTGCTTCAAAAAATTTCCACCTGCACACTCGTCTTTCAACTAAATTGCCATAAGTCTTTAAGGAAATCAAGCCTCTAGTACAACTGAAGATGCTTAACCTGGGTTGCCACCGCCTCCTACCCCAAAGATGATAATATAGATTATCATAACTGAACATGTCTGGGAATAATGTATCACCTCTGATATATTTTATGGATTTATATCTTATGTCCCAAAAGTAAAACATAAGAGGATATGTATCAGTGAAAAATATCCCGTTCTCCAATTCACCACAAGACTCAATTGATTTAAGCGGAGAACCACGAGGCAACATTTCGTTGTCAATTTTGTAATCTAATGCCCACTCTTTTTTTTCATAATTTTTTAGCACCCATATCTCAATAAACAAATTCCCAGATGACACAATGGTCAAACATCCTCTCAAGTTAAGCAAGTGCATGGCTTCCAAACCACGAATAAAACCTTGTGATGAATTAGGATAAGGGGTCCAAACAAATTCATCTTTTTTGGAATCAAAAGAGATAAAACGATTAGGGTTTCTCCCATCCACATCTCTATAAATCAACCAATGCATGTCTCCATATGCAAATACATTCTTTCTACTTAACTCACGTTGGGGAACTGAGTGTATTTCTCGCCATGATGATGACCTTGTGCCCAATGTATAAACATAAGCCTTCTGGTATTTGTCTAGTACACTTTTAAAAACACAAACAATCTTGTGAGTGCTAGTTATACTGTCAAATCCTATGCCGTACCACTTTCTAGCATATGGTGGAATGAGGTCATTAATTGGGAGCTCAAGAAATTCTCCTCCTCTGAGAGGATTGATCAATAAGCATGGAGCTTTAAATAATGCCCGCTTCTGTTGAAGGCAAATCAAGTTGCAAAAAACAAAATCTACTTCATAATCACCAACTCGAGATAAAATATTTGTTTTGCAACGTCTGCTTTTTGTCAATCCATTCTTGTCATTGTATTTCAATGATTGCAAGGCTGTTAAGAACTTATCATCCCGAGAGGACCAGGAATAAGCAAGAAGCATAAGTTGTACTTCACCAGCAGTAGTAGAATTGACAGCAGAATTAAGCAAACGTGAAGTGTGCAATGTCGCAAAAAATGGATTATCAATTATGTTTAAAGAGGTCTTAGATATGCAACAAATCTCAGAAAGTGATTTTACCGGCAGTCTTGTAAGAACATCGAGGATGATATCCCTGGGTAAGTCCATTAAGGGTGAATGCTCGTTTCTCTTAGCCCTTAGCTTCGCCAACCCTACTTATTCATCAAACAAATAATTTTAGTAACAACTTTAAATATAAGTATCTAATAACTCTATACTTATACATATAAGTATACATACAGCTTCAGTTGAGGGATCTTTCAAATAAGTTTATTTGAATGATACTATTAGGACCAACAAAATAGACGAACAAAGTGCTTCAAGAAAAAACTGTAATAAAAACCATCGAATTGAGTGGTCAATTGATTTTTTGCTAAGAAGATCTTTGATGGAATATCAAAACAAATAGACGATCATTGAAATACAATGCGTGGTGGGCCCTACAAGAGTATCGCTCAAATAAGCTTATTTGAGGAATCCTTCAACTAAAACTCTCTCAGTATATATATATATATATATATATATATGAATATTATTCTCGTTGTACCTAAAGATTCATGTTATTATTGATACAAAATCGTAGCATTTACCAAAAACAAAGACACAAACAAGTATCACAATTGATGTCATAAAGTTAAATGTTCAATGTTCAAGTAAATTAAATTGAAACAACAAATCAACAATAGTTACCTTTTATCGAAAATATTAAAAGATGCGGTATCAAAATTAATAGATGATCAATGCATCCGGTTAAAAAGTTTCTTCCAAACCAGCAACTGCCAAGGATTCCCTTCAGCTCAGTCCCAGCGACTCTTCGTCTAGAAATAAGAATATTTGTTGATGATTTAGTGTCTTCATATACTGTGCTCGTTTTGCTTACGGGAATAGAAAAAAGGCTAGGGTTTTTATCTTTTTCTTGAGGGGAAGAAAGTGAAGAAGGGATATCTTCGCTTCTGGGTTCCAGAGATGGCTCCATCTCGGCTTGGAAAAGAGAATGAGAATCTCGTTCAGCAAGAGGAAGAAGATAGTTGGAATGGAAGTCGTGTTTAGCTAGGAAACAAACAATTAATCAATAATTAATTAATATTTCAATTCAACTCAAGTTTGGTTGCTGTGGTTTATTTGTGCAACAATTAATAACGTGAACAAATTACTTGTACGATATTTAACAAATTACTTGGTCCCTGGTCTTCAACAGATATTGAGCCTTTGCATTTAGAATTTGTGCATTTACCTGCATTTCGTGAAATTTAAGCCACCCAAATAATCTAACCATCTAACGTATGACACATCATCAATCTTTTAGTTAAAGTTTTTTTTTTGGTTTGTTAAAAGTAATGCATCTTAGTTGTATCTTTTTCTATAGGTTTCTTATGAAGAGTTGTATCTTTTACTATTTGAGAAGTTGTATCTTTTAGATATCAAAAGTTGCATCTGTATCTCTTGGAATTAATTCAAGAGTTGTGTCTTATTATGTAAAGGTGTAAATGTAATTATAAATAACCAATGTTATGGGCTGCTGTTATATCGAAGAAGTTAATAAAATCAGTTTATAAATTCTCTGTTTTTACAAATACTCTCTGCCTTACTTTATATTTCCATTCTATCCTTCAGTTTTGTGATCATTCCCCCAACAAATTTGGTACCATAGTCTAATACCTATTTTTTTATGGTGCGAATTATGAGTATTGGAGCATTCAAATGAAGACTTTGTTTATCTCCCAGGATATTTGGGATATTGTAGAAGATGGGTATGAGGAACAAGAAACTTCAAAAGCAGGAAAGGAAACACAAGAAAAGCAACAGACTTATAAGGAAAATAAGAAAAAATATGCAAAGGCGTTGTTCCTAATTCAACAAGGAGTAAGCAAAAATCTCTTTTCAAGATTACTTTCAGCAACAACATCAAAGAAGGCTTGGGAAATTCTCAAAATTGAGTTCAAAGGTTCAGAAAAAGTGATCTCCATCAAACTGCAATCCTTATGGTGGGAATGTGATAACCTACTTATGAAAGACACCAAATCCATTCAAGCATTCTTCACAAAGGTTTCTGAGATTGTGAACCAAATCAGATGTTATGGGGACACAATTCTAGACACGAAAATCGTAGAGAAAACTTTATGAAGTCTACCGCCAAAATATGATCATGTCGCTGCCGCAATAGAAGAATCAAAAGATTTATCTACACTTTCTTTACATGAATAATTGGTTCATTAGAAGAACATGAAAAAAGAATCAATAGATCAACAGAACAATCGGTGCAGCAAGCTTTCCAGTCCAAGGTGAATTCAAAGGAGCAAGCTTTCCAGTCCAAGGCGAGCTCCAGCATCTGTATAATGTCATCAAAAGGCTCACAGAATTTGAAGACTACTTCGGTGAATTGAAGAGCATGAACTGGATAGATGAAGAAGGTAATGCCTTGAACAGAGCGTTGGGTTCTACTTCTGAGGCAAAGTCTATTTTGTGGAAACGCTTTTTTGAGTTCTGATCTCACTGATGTTTAAATGAAAAAAGTACAGATGAATTTGGAATTCTTAATCCTTTACATTCCTGGCTTTTTCTAATAACTACAGCTGAGCTACATCTATCAAACACAAGAACAAAACAAATTAACAAAAATAAAAAGCCCAATAAAAAGGAAAAATGGGCTTGCTTTGAATTACAAAAGATAGATTACACCTTCTGGGTAGCACACAACAAAACTACACGACACAATCTCATTCATGCTCTTCACGCTCTTGATGGCAATGAAGCTGCCAATGCAGTCCTCATGCATGCACGGTACACAAAGAACACGGAGAGCCCCCATGTATGGGATCTTTCATTTAATCATAGGGTTTCTCCTTTGGATTGAGTTAGAAGGGCATACTCTAACTCACGTTCCTGTTCCTGTTTGAGGAACTTAAGGCTGCCAGGATTTTCTTCCTCAAAAAGAAGCTTTAAGGGTGTCTGTGGAGGGTACTTGTTCAAGATAAAATCGATTTCTTCGCCGCTAATTTCCCTGCGTTCAAGAAGAACCTGAAATGAAAGTCAAAGAAGCCCGCAAGTCATTACACCGCTTAAAACCTCATCAGATATTCAAGAAATTCAATCATATGCACTTGAAGGATAAATATCGGTAACACTTCCAAGATGCAAATTTACATGCAGACCAATTACCTTCACAGTTTTAAGCAAGGCTGCATGGTGCCTTTTAAGCAAAGAAAGTGTTTTGTCATACATATTATGTATCAGCTCTTCAGTCCTTTTCGCAACCTCATCGTCTAAATTGAAGTTCACCGGTGGTTCAATTAGGTCATAGTCGTGGTACAGTGATCCCTCAGGGCATGTTTGGTAGGCCTCACTGGACTGGACTGGCTTAATTAATACTTAAAACCTATGTTTGGTAAAAAGAGGGACTAACTTAAATGAGATTATATAGTACAACAGTACCAAAAATGCCTCACTCGCTCGTCCAATCTAACGAGCCTGAAACATGGCTCGCTAAATAGCGACCTCGCTAAACAAAACACGCGAGTCCGAGCCCTAGAACGCCTCTCTCTCTCTCGCTCTGGTTTCCTTCAACATCGACTCTACTCTTCTTCGAAGTTGTACTTAGGCAAGTTTTTTTATCTCTCCCTTTACATACCTCTCTTATTCCTTCATGGGTATTGTTAATTTGGATGATTTTTTATACGATTTTTCAGTTCCATCTCCAAAGCAATGGCGAAGAACATGAACAAGAAGAAAGATAAACGATTCCGCTTCAATGGACATCACTGAAGAGCCCGTTTCAGATTTGCCTCAAGGTATCAAGTCCTGTTATTCTAATTTCATCAATTTCTGTTATTATAGCTTTCTTCGAATCCCTCTCTCTCTCTCTTACCTTTGCTTTTGGAGAATTTTGATTTTGATTTTTCTTTTTTTACATTGGTTGTGCAGCAATGGACACCTCAGAGTCAGGGGCTCACAAGTTCACAACTGAAGTTGTTGACGCCAAAAAGTGGTTCTTTGACTTAGAGGGTCAACTTAGTAATTTTAAGCCTTCGGTATCCTTGATGCCTCGGTAGTCTACGCGATCTGCAATATGAGCAAACGCACGGTAAGACCTAGGGCACCGGTGTGGTACCGGCCGAAGGCTCTCCGATGCTTAAGTAAGTTCGGGAATAGAAAGTTCAAC